GTTGAAAACGAGCGGGTGCTCAGAGCAAACTGGAACATACTGTATATTTGCGTTTTTATTCTAAGAAGGCGGTGCTGGCAGATGGCAAATAAATGACCCATCCCTTGAAATGTTGACTGGGAAGAAAATAAATAATTTGACCTTGGCTGGTGGAACCTTACCACCCCACCCGCCCCCCTAAAATCCCCCACCACACCAAGAAAGGTTTTGGGCATATTTTCTTCTTCTTGTTGTCCCTGATCATCTTAGATATAAATGTTCTGTCCTGCGAGATCATGAAAATAAATAATCTAATTGAACAACAAACACTTAATATGGTGGGAGGGGGGAGGGGAGCTCCCCACTCTTTTTCCCCCCCAAAATTAACCTCTTACAATTGAAAATGTCCATGAAGGGCTGGTTACCCCATCTTAAATCTCGCTCGTTTTTAACACGATATATGTTAAAACTTGACCAATGAAATTATTCGAAACGAAAGAAGCTAACAATCCTCGGATACAATACAAATGAAAAATCATCGAATTCAAATGAAAACATATCGAATAGAAATTAAAAAAAATATGCAGTACAAATAAGAAATTATACAATACAAATAAGGTATAATACAATGCAAATGGTAAATATAGAATACAAATAAAACAAGAGGCCCAAGGGCCTTAACGGTCACCTGAGTATGATAAAACAATTTCAAGGATGCATAGAGTATAAAATGAACTGAAAGGTGAAGCTTTGTTGCCCAAAAGCAAGAAAAATAGGGTGATCATGATCAACAAAATAATTGGTCTTAATATTCATTAACAGTTCATAAATTAGATTCTAATCTGTTCCCCATTTATCACTATCACTATACAGTATATTAACAAATTATCAATGCTTCTGTACTATTTTAATCCCTTGTTGAAATCTCTTACATTGGCATCTCTTGGTCTTTGATGAATATTTAATAAGACAAGTTATTTTTGTCTCATTTTTATTTATCTACTACTTACAAGTCTATCTGATCATTAAAACTATGAAAGTACTTTTTGTATTATACAATAAAAGTTTTTACAAAATTCTCTTATTCTATTTACCTTTCAAGTACATTATTTACAGTGATAAATTATCAAAAGTATATGGTAAAGGGGAATAACTCCTCTCAGTAGAATACAAACTAATAGAGCCCTGGCCAGGACCAGAACACTTGACCAAATGGTCCAGATGTTCAAAAATCTGGTAAAAATTCCCTTCCTTATAAAAACTTTTACTCTGTTTGCCCCAGATATGCCCAGGTGCGGAGAAGATTTTTAAATAAATAATGCATTTTTACTACAGATTCACTATATTATCAATAGAGCCCCCCCCAACCCCCCACCCCCAAAACACCAGAGCTTCTGACCCTGGGACCATATGTTTGCTCATCATCACTTTGTTTATCTGCTTAACACTAAGGAGTAAACAGGATTATTTAATAGAATTAATGCATTTTCACTAAATTATCAAGAGCCCCACCCTCACACCAGCACATCTGACCCAGGGGTCATGAAATTCACTCCTCTGGAAGAAGCAAACTTGCTCATCATAACTATACACTTAGCTTCTTTGCTTTTTTAACCAGAAGAAGAAAAGAATATTTTCAAAGAAATTTTGCTTTTTCACTTTATAATCAATAGAAGCCCCCCCCCCCCTTCACCAGAACCCTTAAACCTGGGGTCATAAAATCCACAATTTTGGGAAGAGGCATCCTTGTGTATCATAACAATGTACTTTAGCCTGTTTAAGCAATACCCAGGGGCAGAGAAGATTTTCAAAGAAATAATTCACCTTCACTATAGGATCTATATAGCCCCGCCCTAGCACCAGAACTCCTGTCCCCAGGGCCATGAATTTCACAATTTTGGAAGAGGCATCCTTGCTATCATAACAATGTACTTAGTTTGTTTAAATAATACCCAGGTGCAGAGAAAAAGATTTTTAAAGAATTAAAACATTTTCACTTTATAATCAATAGAGCCCCGCCCTAACACCAGAACCCCTGATCCAGGGGCCACGAATTTCACAATTTTGAAAGAGGCATCCTTGATTATCATAACTATGTATTTAATATGTTTCAATAATACCCAGGAGTAGAGAAGAAGATTTTCAAAGGATTAATGCATTTTCACTATATAATCAATAGAGCCCCACCCTAACACCAGAACCCCTGACCCAGGGGCCATAAAATTCACAATTTTGGAAGAGGCACTCTTGCTCATCATAACTATGTACTTAGTTACTGAATTTAATACCCAGGAGCAGAGAAGAAGATTTTCAAAGGATTAATGCATTTTCACTATATAATCAATAGAGCCCCGCCCTAACACCAGAACCCCTGACTCAGGGGCCATGAATTTAACAATTTTGGAAGAGGCACTCTTGCTCATCCTAACTATGTACTTACTTAGTTTATTTAATACCCAGGAGCAGAGAAGAAGATTTTCAATGAATTAATGCATTTTCACTATATAATCAATAGAGCCCCACCCTAACACCAGAACCCCTGACCCTGGGGTCATGAATTTCACAATTTTGAAAGAGGCACTCTTACTCATTATAACTATATACTTAGTTAGTTTATTTAATACCCAGGAGCAGAGAAGAAGATTTTCAATGAATTAATGCATTTTCACTATATAATCAATAGAGCCCCACCCTAACACCAGAACCCCTGCCCCTGGGGCCATGAATTTCACAATTTTGGTAGAGGTACTCTTACTCATCATTACTATATACTTAGTTAGTTTATTTAATACCCAGGAGCAGAGAAGAAGATTTTCAAAGAAATAATGCACTTTCACTATATGATCTATATAGCCCCGCCCTAGAACCAGAACCCCTGACCCTGGGGCCATGAATTTCACAATTTTGGTAGAGGACTCAATGCTTATCACAATGATGCCAACAGTTTGACTGCTTGATGTCCAGGAGTAAAGAAGAAGATTTTTAAAGATTGCATTAATTTTGGTGGTTTTAGCCCCACCCCTCAGGCCCCAGGGGGGCAGGGACCATGAAATTCACAATTTTTCTTCCCCTTCACCCATAGATGCTATATGCCAAATTTAGTTGAAATTGGTTGAGCGGTTTCAGAGAAGAAGCTAAAAATGTTCAAATGTTAACGCACATCGCACGACGCACGACGCACGCCGACGGACAAAAACGGATAGCAATAGGTCACCTGAGTGACTCAGGTGACCTAAAAACTAAACAAAACAAATGAATTTTGTACACTACAAATAGAAAATATAGAATGCAAATAAAAGGTAATACAATTCAAATGGAAAATTTTAGAATACAAGTAGAAAATAATAGAAAAAAAAAATATACAACTCAAATGTAAAATTATACAACATAAATGATAAATTATACAATACAAATGGAAAATTATACAATTCAAATGGAAATTATAGAATAAAAATAAGAATTATGCAATACAAATGAAAAATTATACAATATAAACGGAAAAGATCAAATATTGCAACGTTTGACATGCCATAGTCATGCCATAGAAACGGACATTTTAATTCTATGATTATTTTTTCTTCAGATAATCAAAATTAACTACGTATACATCTTTACATAAAGATCAACGAATCTCCAAATATCATCAATATCTGTAGTTCTTTACCTATCTTAGGACTATCTCTTATAAGGGGCCTTTTGATTTTAAGATCAAAATATAAATAAAACAACAAATGACTTTTATCAGCAAAAGAAGTTTTACATTGTATATCAGAGATAAATTCTTTAAGATCACTTGATTACGAAGGGCCACCAAAATTAAGATGAATAATTTTTTATTTCCAAGAAATTGAGAAAAAGTATTTTTTTTTTTTTTATTTTGTTGATCATTATTTTTTAACTTCTCATTTTGTGATGTATTTTTTTTTATATGCATATCTCTCCTACGAGACCAGGAACGATTTAGATTGTACACCAGTTTTGTCAGAATCTTTAAGGATGTGATCTGCTTAATGATCAAGTACATTATGCATAAATGTAAGAAAAATAATTGAATTATACTAAAGAATAAGTATGACGAAATGCTCCAATTTACTCTTATTTAGGCCTGATAACAGCTTTTCTATTACTCTCGTCTTGAAAAACAGATGTTCTTTGCTAAAGATATTAGATTAAGTTCGATTTATTTTTCCTCTATAATTTTCCTTATAATTCAAACATTTTGACCTTGATACGATGTGTATTTACATAAAAGTGCCTGAATGCACTATAAATCCAACTTGAATCATTATGCGCATTCAATATGATTCGTTTCCCACATGTACTGATACGCTCATCAGCTAAGACACTTGATTGATTGATTGTATGTTGTTTTGCGTCTCATTCCAGAATTCTTCACTCATATAGAGACCATATACCGGTGAAGGGCTTCAAATTTTGACCTTTACTCTGCAGTCAGGGCCATTGAGCAGTGAGAGTTCTTTATCGTGTCAACGCCTATCGTAACACGAGGCCTCGATCTCTAAGGTCTCATCCGAAGAACCCACAACTTTCACTTCAAAGTGCCTAGCGCTTGGCGAAGGAACAGTTTCTACCTATTTTTTATCGACTTAGGTCAGTCGCGGCCATGATTCGAACTCACAACCTTCCGATCACGAAGCGAGCGCTCTACCAACTGAGCTACCGTGACGGCTGCTAAGACACTTGAAAATTTTCTCTAATAATTTTCTCTAATTATATTTTCGAAATGCTTCAAAAAGGAGGTTGGATGTGTGCTAGAAACATATTTATTCTTCCTGTTGTGAAAAGTAGACATTTAAAAAGCAAAGAAACAAAGTTTTCTTATCAGTCTTCTTATTAAGTTTACATAATTAAAACTATATAAAACATGACCTAGAATCAAAATTAGGTTTCTACTCTAATAAACAGAAAACCAGGCCTAGGGTTCTGTTTGTTTAAGAAAATGAAAGTACTTAAGACTTCTTAAGGAAAAGAGTAATCATTTTACTGAAGTATAGTCTTACCTTATTGCCAAAATAAATGGTCAGAAAGAATAACGCTGCATGGGACAGCATTTCCCGTTATGAATGTTTCCAGTTTGGTAGTAACACGATATCCAACCCTCGGAAATACATAGACAGTAGGTCTGTAAAATTCAACTGTCTATATGTACACAGTTTTCACGCTGTTCTATTGCTCTTCTACCGGTCAGATTAGGTCAAACAGGGGAACTTTTAACTGTAAGATAAAAAATTTATACCTTTTGAATTGTCAACTTCATCAGCACAAATTAGTCAGTATAACAGTTATTTTAAGACAAAACAGCTGCACAGAAAACAATATCCTAATGGTTCAGTGACATGAATCCTTATTAAACACGGCATAATTACTTTGTCATAGAATTCCCCTCGTTATGTTCCCTAACTTATCAGATTCTAATTACTTTCAGAAAATGGTGAAACTCCAACGCAGTGAGCACAATGGTTCTTGGCGTCCTAGAGGAAAGTTCACCTTTGTTTTTCCTAATCCTCTAACACTACGTATTGTTTTGGGGCAGTGGGATTTATGTTTCGTGAAATGTTCAGTTTAAAAAAAAACGCAGCCTAAAAGTTTTGAGAAAAATAATTTAAGAGCTATTGAGAAAAATGTATCTTGCATATATATTAAACTCTTTTCAGAGGAATTGTTCTTGGTGTGGTCTTCAATTCGATATTTTGAAATGCTGACGATGTTTTTCTTCATCAATTACATGTAACAATATTCATTTTCACACATATGACAGATAAGTTAAAGTTACATTGATTTCAACAACCTCGTTTAAAGGCAGCATTTCGTAAATTCTATGGTCGTTAACACATCATTTGGTCGTATTTCGGCTGACGTGTTTCTTACCAATTGTTAGGCATTTGTTTTAATACTGAATTTGACTACAGAATGTTCCGTCTACCAAATCAATAATAAGGCTCACGGCGGGTGTGACCTATCAACAGCAGATGCTTACTCCTCCTAGGCACCTGATCCCACCTCTAGAATTTCCAGGGGACCGTGTTTTATCTTCACCCTTTTCATTGATTCCATTGAACTCGAAATAAAAGAAACCTGCATATCATGTTTATGTGTTCCAGTTAACCTGATGCGCGAGAGCATGTTCTGAGTACGGTGAATATTTCTAAACTGAGACAGTCTAATGAAAAATAACTTGATGATACAAGGATTTCAACATTGCACAAATTCTATACTCGTTACGAAACCTTGTTTGCAAAAACAACTTGTCGTTAGGTCGAACGTTGACCACTTTCTTATAACAAATTGTTTAGCCATTTCTCTTACTCATTAATATACAGATTACTCCGTCTACCTGATCAAAACAAAGGGCTCACAGCGGATGTGACCAGTAAACAGTGGATGCTTACACCTTCATGGCTTCTGATCCTATCTGTGGTGTTTCTAGCGATCCTTGTTTTTTCTGCTTTCAATTTGTAATATTAAGTTGGATTTTTGAGTTGAATAATGTTGGTTAACTTTACATTTCATTTGTAAGAAAATTTTTATAATCATTTTGAATCATTGAAGATCTATCTAAAGGAGCTTGTACATGAAAAAAAAAGTAAAAAAAAAAAATCTTTCACCTTATCAAAACCAAAAGAATCGGAAGCAGTTGCAGTTATAATTAAAAATAGAATAGCACCGATTAGGAGCTTAGAAGTAACCCCTTTTTAAAAATGATTCGTTTTGTGTTTTTAAGTTTGTTAAATTTGCTATGAAAATCATACCGTGTAAAAGGAGTAACATTTTCAGAGATTTTCACATATAATTTTATTTTTATTAGCCATTTTGACGACCTTTATCCCATTTAAAATTGTGTCCACTAGTGAAGTGAGTTTGATTGAAATCAGACAATATCACCAGAAGAATGGCATTTTGAAATCATTTTACATATCATTTTTGTAACTATGGCAACATCTTTTTTGTAAAAATAAGAATAAAATCGCATTGAAAATGAAGTACGAAAACACCACTTCATGCAGACTAAATTACTTCTGAAGACCTAGGTTCAATAATTTGAATTGTGAGCGTGTTCGTTTTTTTTTCACCAAAAAAATCATTCTCTACAGAAATATGACTCAGTAAATCCAGATTTGCATGTGATAGATATCAAGTCACAGAGTTACTCTTAAAAACTGCAAAGCGGTACTCTGAATGAAATATATGGAGATAACGAACAGTATTCAAGCTCAAAAGTCCATTATACAATACAAATTAGGAGCAGAGCAAACACGGACCTCCAAACATCAGAGGTGGGATCAGGTGACATGGAGGAGTGAGCATCCCCTGCCGACCGGTGGCACCCGCTGTGTGCTCCTTGTCATGATCGGGAAATAACGGAAAAATCCGTCGACAATTCAGTGTGTAAATAATGGCCTAACAATTAGTATGAAAAACGTCAGTCAGCATTTGACTCAATGATAAATTATATTTGCTGACAAGGTCATTGTATCGACCATAGAACTTACGAAATGATGACTTTAAACGAGACAGCTGATATTCTTGTTTCATCAACTTATTTGTCAATAATTTACCTCGTTTTAGAAATTGTACATACCTAGAGCATTCTCTTGCGTATCGAATCAACTGAAAGATATATACCCCGTATGCAGGTGATGAAGGTATATTGCTGCATAAGTAAGGGAAGTTTACGATTGAAAAGTTAAAGTCATCACGTTTATCATAAAGCTTGGTTGTTAGATTACCATTAACGTCTTTTTCAAGTAAAATATCCAAATATGAAACAGATGTGTCAGACTCTGTGGTATCTTTTATCTCAAGTTCACCAGGATATATCGTATCGACATAAGAATGAAAATAGCCATTGTTAATTGACAATACGTCGTCGATATATCTAAATGTCGAGTTGAACGCCACAGCAAGTGTTTTCTTCTTTTCACGTACAAGATTTTGGACAAATTCTGCTTCATATGAATACAAAAAAGGTCTGCTAATAACGGGGCGCAATTGGTACCCACAGGATTTCCAATAGATTGTTGGAAGACCTGGTCTCCAAAAACCACATAGATATTGTCAATCAGAAACTCGAGCATCTTTTTAATGTCAACTTCAGAGTACTTGTGTGTACAATCAGAATGTTTTTTAACAAAATAATTTTGCAAATGACCAATGACAAGGTAAGTATATTTACGAGTTCCAGTTTTATTGAAAAAGCAGCTGTCAATGATATCAAAAAACCTGGACTTTAATTTATCGTGGGGAATGGTTGTGTATAAAGTTGAAAAGTCGTAAGTTTTTAAGCTGTTGATTTTGGTAAAATCTTGTGATTTCAAATTTTCCAAAAGTTACTTGGAATTTTTAAGTATCCACATCTGATTTACGCCACTTCTCGAATATATTGTTTCACAGTACTCTTGAAGTTTCTCCTTCACCACTGTTAATATCTTATTGAGGAGTAAAGATAGAGGTTTGGTTGAACATTTACTGGAACCCGCTATGTATCTTTTTTTGTAAGGATTTTTATGAAGTTTCGGAATCCAATATAAATATGGTAAATCGAATTCATTTTGGTTGTTTGGAATATTAAAAATATTCAAAACTGACATAGGATTTTGAAGAATTTCTTCCTTAGAAAGGGAACTATGAGTATAAGTTGGATTACCACTTGTAGAATTAAATCCAAGTTCCTCTAAAATACATTTAATATAATGAGCCTTACAAACAAAGACAATGTTGTTACCTGCTTTGTCAGCAGGGACCAGAACATACTGATCATGTAATCTATCTAATTCTTTTTTTCACTTCTGGATTATTGAATACAGAAAGATAGATGGTTTTCATATTGCCTCTCAATCTTTTAATGCGCGATTTTATCATACATCTGATACATTTAATCCATTCTGACAATTAAAGTGTCAAGGTCGACTTTTTTATGTCTGGCCCATCGCCTGGCGTAGTCCTCTACAGAATCCATAATATTTATGAAATTCTTACGCCAGTTGAAGGATCGGGGTTCCCTAAATTTAGGACCTTTTAAAATTAGTGATCTAAGGTCCTCATTATTAACTATATTTACGTCACCATCAATAACGTGTCCAGCAGGACTATAGTTACAGGGCGAAGAAGAACATGAACACGATGGAGGATTATGTTTCAGATATTCGATATCCAGGCCATGTAAAGTTTTCTTGTAATTAAAAAGTTTGGAAGCAATAATCGATGTATATTTGTAGGAAATCCAAGGTGTAGTCTTTAAATTGAAATATGGTGGAATACAAGACTGGACCCTTTTGTGATTAAGAATATTACTTATATTAACCGCGTCAATTCCTTTGTTGGCATATTGAAGTTTAAGGAAAAAACGGATTGTTTTAGCTGCATTTTCTTCAGTAAAACGCGGGGGTTTAAAAAGCCTATGATTGGCAATATCCATAACTACAGATCCGAGCCTATATTCTGGTGTCGAGGAATCAAAAAATGGACTTGCCTTGACCTTTTCAAGAAGACTATTTAAAAGTTTCAAAGGGACAGGGTAAAGTTTGGTGCGAATATGATGTAGACCTAACTGTTGATTTACGTAAGGTAGTAATGAATCAAAAGAGACATCGTGTATTAAAGGTTTATTGTAAGACCGATGCCCATGACTATGCTTACGTCTCTGTGTATGGTTAAAAAGTCCCATCACATTTACATTGTTACACTGTGGACTGGAAAGATTTCCAACACTATCGACATTGTCATTACATCCATAGGGAAAGGCTGTCCCTAGCTTTCTTATCCAAAATTCTTCTCGTTGTCTACGGAAAGGTGTACCCAGTGATGGACTGTTTGTGTGGTGGTAAATCTTTTCCAGAATTCTAACTTTCATTGACAAAATAGAATGATCAGGTAAATTAAAATGTTTGTATAAAAGTTGCTGACCCCCATTATTTATCTGAAATCTATGACCTGATGTTCTTTTATTGAGTGATCCCTTGGTTTCACCAACATAAACAAGTCCACAAAGATTACATTCTATTCCGTAGACAACATTAGAAGATTTGCAGTACAGATTTTCCCAAGTTTTGGTACAGAAGCTCTGTCCAGTAAGATTACTGGTGAAAGAAGTGTTAGTTATCAAAATGTCACAGGTTTTACAGTTTTTCGCAGAACATTTTGAAATAGAAGACATGGGATCGGAAAAGGAGTCTTCGAATATATCTCTAATAGAAACTGTACATTCTTTCAATTGT